AAGGTGGAATCTCAATGAAATTCTCCAATTGAGTATTGATATTAGACATATTGTACTGATCTAGCAAGGTGCTGACTCTTAGATCATACGATGGTACACAGAATGGAGACATGCCTGATACAAACGAGAAAGAATGAATCATTGAGTAAACGTAAATAGATGAGATTCTTGATCAATGATATTATTTTAAAGTAGTGCTTGAAAGAAAGATATTCACGTCTTAAAATGCAGGGAAGTTGCCTTCCATTCTACATACAGGCTTTCCACTTTTTCTAAAAGCCCCAGTGCAGATCCGAAGTGCTTGGCGATACACGGGATTAAGTTTGGCCAGAACAGAAGACCTTGCTGACTCGTAAATAACTGACCCATAGTCAAGCTTTGAGCAGATAAGAGGGGGGGGGAGTCTACACATAACTGAGCTGCAATCGACTACCCAGAAGGTATTCAACAAGACTTTCAGAATATTTATATTTTTGCAATATTTCTTTTTTAGAGAGATGATATGGGGAAGGAAAGTAAGCTTGTGGTCGAACAGCGCCCATAGGAATTTTACCTCCTTTCTACAGGAATCAGTATGTCCTGAAAATAGAGTTTGGGATCAAGATGAAGAATCTTCTGGTGACAAAGATGCACACACACAGTCTTTTGGGTAGAAAACCTGAAACCATTCTTCTGCAACTATTTAACTATTTTATTTAGAGATGTTTGATTCTTTCTCGACATATTTCATGTCTGCCTTCTGACAACTAACTTGCAGGTTGTTAACACAAAGCATACCATGGACTTTTGGAGGGAGCTGTTTTAAGATAGAGTTAATTTTTAAGCTAAAAAGGGTGATACTGCCTTGTGCAACACCCTGTTCTTGACTAAACACATCAGAGAGGACAGAGCCAATCTTCATGTAAAACTTTCGAGCCTGTAAAACATGTTTGATAAAAATCAACAGATTTCCTCATAAGCCACTACTGTACAAGTCGCAAATGGTTCAGTACCACCATGTGGCATCATAGGCCTTCTGTAAAAAAATATAGAAATGAAGGGATTCCTTTTTAAGGGCACTTTACAGATGCCAGTTTCTAAGAACAGAATATTTTCAACAGTTGCCCGTCCTTTTCTAAATCCACTTTAATAAGTGGAGATACAACTATTTGTCTCTAAATAGCACACCAGGCGAGTGTTAACCATCTTTTCAAGGAGCTTGCAAAGGCAGCTAGTTAAAGTGATGGGGTGGTAATTAGAGGGATTCGTAGTCTTTCCTGGTTTGGCAACTGGGATAACGAAAACCTGTCCTCCATGCATTGGGAAATTCACGCTCTTTCCTTACCAATGACTTACAGGGAAGGTGTTTCATTATAGGATAAGTAACACTGTCAGGACCAGGACACAATCTCCTTGTCTGCAACAAAACTCTTCTAAATTCCAGCATAGTGAAATCTTTAATTTAAAGGTCAGGAGTGGGATAGTTGAAATCAATGGGCTGAGTTTCAAAGAGTAGTTTTGCAGAAAGGAACGCAGGAAAATGCATGATCTTTGCAGATACGAAGACACTTTTTGAACTCCTTTCCTTACCTTCTTACTTAAAGTAGAGTTTATTGAAGACAGATACGAGATCCACAAATTCTTCTGACTCCTCTGATGCATAAGATGTGCTTTTGCTTTAGCCCTTTTGAAAATCATGAGCTTTAATTCGGTAAGATACTGTCAAAAAATCTCCAAAAAGCTTCCCTGTGTTTGCTGATCGCATCTTGGCATTCAAAATTCTACCTAAAGTATTTTAGAAATTTTATTGATTTTGGAATAGATATTTCAGCTGCTTTTTATCAATAAGAATCTTCTCAGCATGATGAATTTGCACATCCTTCACTATCTCTTAAGTGAAATAGGTGTGATGTACGAAGAAATTCCAGTCTGCTTTATCCAAACAAAACTATGGTAAGCTGGAGACAGGGCTTCCATTTCCTGTAAAGTTTATGATGTTAATAAATGGGTTATTCATAACACTAAAGGAACAGATTAGTAGAAGATGCAGAGAGACAATGGCTAGGTCAATTAAGTGGAAGGTCCTTGTTGGCTGAAAGTATTTTCTGCATTGTTGACAATACAGAGACAATAGTCATGCAGTAGCTGTTTAATTTGCTTTCACTGTGGATTTGCATCTCTACTACCACACAGGGGATTGTCTCTCTTGAAATCACCAACCAAAATAAACAGTGCTAGTAGGTGGCCAATTAAATTGCCTAAATCTCCCTGATCAACAGTTTCATTTAGAGAAAGACAGATACTACAAATGGAAATCAGTGTCTGGACGTTACCTGTATGGCAACTGGTTGGAGAGCTGCCTCCAAGAGAAGAGCGCTTGATGGACAGTTAACTGAGGTAAGTTATGCATTCACTGGAAGTGTTGTCTTTTCTTATCATTGAATATCTACGAAGTTTGCATAATTATCAGATTTGAGAAATGTCTCTTGAACTACAATACAAATAGGCTAATAATTATTAATGAGCTGTTTGATACTTGATACAACACCTTGGTGGAAGTCACGACAGTTCTATGATATGAGTGGCCTTTAGGAATGTTTATTATTGAAATGCTGATTCTTTGTTTTATCAGGCAAGCCATGTTTTGGAAGATCTGTGCCTAATCCCTTCAACAGAGCCTCAGCTTGGGAATCTGTTTTGGAGCTTTTAATTTTCTTTTTTGAGCTATCCATTCTTTGTGTTTTCATTTCCAAGCTTTCTGTTGCCTGTTTGGGAGGAAGAGGATTTAAAAATTTTTTGTTATCAATTATTTTTTTGGTTCCGGATTTTTTTTGTCTGAATATTATGAGATGTTTGGGTAGATAGACTGCATGACAATTTAACATTTTGAATTGGCAATGCAGTCCTGACTTTCACGACCAGTCACAGAACAAGGAGCACACACCAGCTCCCATGATATGCGGCTTTTGTATGACCAGACCACTGACACTGAAAACAGCACAATGGGTTCTGCATGTTTGATGGGGTAGTTCAGATAACCCACCTTAATAGGATTTTAATTTGGCATCTCAATACATAATTTGCTTAGTTGTTTTAAAAGTTCTTCCTCAGAAACTCATATCAGGTTTATTTCTCAAATGACTCCTTTGAATGTGTTTTGAAGAATTATGTGGAGACACACTAATAAATTACTCACTTGATTTTTACAAGAAGAGGATTGTGCATTAGATAGTTGATGAGCAGAGATCCTGAATGGAGCATTTTTACGTTTTTTGGGTCATCAGCTGAGGCCACAGTATGCTTATGGAGGAGAAAAGGTGAAATATTTTCTATTTAACCAGTGATGACTAAGGACATTTGATGCTCTTACTAATCATGGCAGAAATGCACGTTCTTTAATGGTTCCAGAATTTTTCATTTTCATGTGATTGAGAGAAGAATTTAAAGTTGCCATACTGTAAATAGATAAATAGAAAAGATTTGTGTCCACCCCCATCTATTATGAAGCCCAACGAGGAAACACAAACCCTGTGTTAGGGTTAGCTGGGCCTATACGCAGATTGAAGCCCCACAGTCAGCTTTCTCGAAAGCAGGGATTTCTGAAAGACTATCCCGAAACCAGTGATATGAAGAACATGTGACCAGCCACTGACATTGACACTAGCAGGGACAGCTAAGTGCCTCCTGTTTGGGCTGAAGGAGAGTCCAACGCAGAGTGTTGTTGGGATGGTACCTCACCCCTGAACTACCAGGCTCCTCTTTTCTAGCCATACGAGTCCCAATGCACAGCATACATGTTGGCAGTTTTCTCACCATCGTGAAATAGAAACAAAAGAATAGTAACTGCACTTCACAGTGAGCCCCAACCTCCATAAGAGGAAACCACAAGGGAGAAAGGTAGGGAGAAATGAGAGATGAGAAGAAAAGGAAACAAGGATAGGTCACTAGGGCTCCAAGATTGTGTAACCAAACCACCAAGAAGGTAATCAATTCCCTGAAGTCTTCATTTGCTATGCTTTAGCTGGGCATATTGGAATGGCCTTCATACCTAGAGTGGCCCTACCAGGAGCAAGGTTCCCAATGTACTTCACCTATTCTACCCTGTAACATCCTCCCCACCATGGTGAGGCAGCATAGCAGAACTTAGAATTAGAAGAGGATTCCTAAATATTGAAATTTTTTATCAGCATCAAGAGAGAGCTGAAAGTAATTTTATATGATTTTAAAAAAAAATCATTTCAGCCTTTCCCAAGAGAAACTTAGGATTATTCAAAGTTATGGTTTGGATTTTGTAACAAGCTTTCTGAAAAAATTCTAACATATAAAATTATGTACATGTAAAAAGTAACCTTAGCTGAAATTTAATAAAAAAAAGGGTTTACCCCCTTTTTTCCACTGTTTTCCACAAATCTATTTGACATGTGTAGAAAAACTGAGATTTGCAATCAGAAAATTTCATAAAATTTGCAGAAATTAATGATGTTGTAAGTTGCTTTCCTAGTTATAATTGTAAGTAAAAAAATGTAGATACTGTAAAATACCATTTGATATATCTTTGAAGTGCGTTACTGCTCATCACTGTGGTACATGCATACATGTCTCACAATTAATACTGTCTCAGAACTTTTCCATCACATTCCAAATACTTAAAAATTTCAAAATAATATTTAGCTTCATCAAATGCTTTTATAGCATTTAAACAAAACTATCTTAATCATCAGATCAGTGACTGCCAGAAAATCCAGCATAGTAGAACAAAATATAATTCTTAGTTAAAAACTTCTTAGGAAAAACTAATTAGTATTTATATTATACATAAAACAAAATCACAAAAGAACTTTTACGCATTTAGCCAGAAATTAAACTTTCCAAAATCACCAGAGTAAAAAAAAAAAAAAAAAAAAAGTCTATTTGACCCCTTATTAATTTAGTTTAAAAATAAAGAAAATTATAATCTTACTTATACATATATATTTAATGATAAGGATGCATGTCGAAACAGAAAAATAAACAATACTCACTTGATATCATATTTAAAAGTAATGGCAATTCTGTGCAATGAATTATTTACAGCTGTCTTCAGATTAAGGCGTTGGTGTATATGGTCGTAACGACCTTGTGGATCACGAATATAAGTTCGAATTCCTACTAATCCTATGGGTAATTTTTCTTCAGCCTAAAATCAAAATATAAAGTCATGAAATTCCCCATCCTGCATACATGGCAGCAGATGCACAATCCAAAATGCATTAATTATTTTCTACACATGCTTACTGAAGATCAAAACTATTCAAAATATTCTTTTATGTTTTAAAGGTGTTTTAGTTATGAAGCAAACATCTGGATGAGGTACTTATGCACTTAAACCAAAAAGGCTACACTAATGTCTAGTATGAAAATATTTTTTTTTCCTACATTTTTGAAAGTGCACACAAGATAGTTAACCTCTATAATTCAAGACAAAGTATAATCCTGTGCATGGCTGAAACTGTGTATGATTTACATGACAAACTATATATTACAAACAAATAAAATAGAGATGATATATAGATAATGATATTAGAAACAAACACAAGACATGTGGCCACAAATAGGTTAGTAGCACATTTTAGTTAAAAAAATAAGCAATTTTCAAGCACATTTTAAGAAAAAAAATAAGCACCTGTTTAATTACATATATGCACAATTGCAAAATCTAAAAAGGAAAATGAGACTTTAATTTAAAATATGAGAAATTCAGTATTTATTAAAAGAGAATTAGAATTACTAAACCATGAAGAACAATTACAGTATTTTTTTAATTTTAAATAACAGTTCAAGTTATATAACTAGTTTACAGTGAGGGGGGGAAAATCTATACAAAACTAAATTATATTACAAGATTTAATGATGGAATTTCAGATAAAAATGCACAAAATAAATAATAGATAGGTCTCCATGCATGGTAGGCATGTGGACATTTTTCTTGCCACTCAATGCTAGATACAGTGGTTATAACAACATATCATGATAAGCCTTAACCTTTGAAGAAAAAAAAAACCACAAGGCAGACAATAAAGCTGAAAACAGTAGAGAAGAAAAGAGAAATAGGGTAAGGGGAAAGACCATTAGGGCTCCAAGATCGTGACACCCATTCATCAAGATGATGATCACCTGAAGCGGTTAGGACACTTTCAGATTGCCACACCCATACTGACAAAATGAGCTCCTGAGGGAAGAAGTGTTGATGGAAATTGATATTGCTCACAACCCTAATTGGTAGCATTCATGCTTGAAAGAACTGAAGTGGTTCTTTTTTACGAAGTGCTTACATGTATTATTATGTAAGATTTTGAAAGTAGAAACAAAAGCTATTATTAGATGCAGACCCACCAGCGGCCGAACGGTAAAGTTGCTGAACAATGGGAGTTAATCCCGGGATTCAAATACCAGCAAACGGGGTGGCTGCATGGGAATTTTCATGGTTTTTTCTCATGCGTAACGTATATAAAGCCAGTTTTCCTTAGAAAGTCCTCTATGAAGGCATCCTTTCCTTTAAGCAGATAGTCTTTGTTGCTTTGCCACAATCACCCATACTGACAATCAAATACACCAAACTATTATTAAATACTCATAGACTCCAACTACTACGGATTCTCCGTAGTTTCTACGGAAATTCATGAAAAACTACGAGCTACGAAAAGTATGGAAAAAACTACGGATTTTACAGAAACAAGAGCAGGAGAACCAGTACGCAAAACGGAACCAACTAATTCATCCGATGATTGGCTGAATACTTGTGTTATCATATATCACGTGTTGAGTGTTTTCTAGTTTTGAAGAATTAGCCAATCGTAGATCAGTAACTCCAACCGTTAACAACTTATCAATAGTTCCACCCAATTGTCTGTCTCCCAGGTTCCTCGCTGATGCGTGTTTAGGCTGCATTCGGCTGCATTGTGTAGTTACGGCGAGAGCTTAGCGTGTGTCTTGTGAACTGTGAATCAGGTGAAAGATTTTTAATCATAATGCTGCCTCGAACGAAGAAAGCCAAAATTATCAAAGCAGAAGTTTAAAGATTCATATTCTTCAGAATTTCCATGCATTAAAACGTTCCGAAATTTATGTGAAATCACGCACACTGCAGCGTATGCAACAAAGACTTCTCAGTTTGCACATGGCGGAAAAGATGACTGTAAATGGCATGTGTTTTTCTCAAAAGCATATAGAACTTGGCACCATGTAAAATCTAATGAAATAACAAATTTCTTATTAAAAGACTACGATTGAAACAGATCCTATAAAAGCCGAATACCATTTTGTTCGATTTTTAATTGAACATAATGTACCGCTTTCTGTTTCGGATTATTCCAAAGAGCTTTTCAAAGCAATGTTTCCGGATTCTGCCATAGCAAAAAAATTTAGCTGCGGTCATACCAAAACTGCTGCTATTGTGAAACGCTTGCAGAAAATACTGTTGCTGATATTATAAAATCAGTGTGCAGTACATCATTTTCTCTAAGTACTGATGGAAGTAATGATAACAATGATAACAAACTGTACCCATTGGTTATAACATACTACAGTAAAGAAAAGGGAGTGATAATTACTTCATTGATTTCTATTTTAGAATGCACGAATAATACAGGAGAAGGTATTTTTAATTGTATAAATGAAAACTTTAAAAACAAAGGTCTAGAATGGAAAAATTGCTTATCATTTTCTTCAGATAATGCTAGTAATATGATTGGAAAGTTTAAAGGTGTAGCATCATTTATCAAAATGCATCAACCAAGTATAATCACCCGAGGTTGTCCGTGCCACCTCTTGCATATAGCTGCAAAAAAAGCTACTGAAAAATTAATTGGCTCAGAAATTGAAATGTTGATAATAGATACATATTTTTACTTGGAGAAAAGTTCGAAACGGAAGCATAGCTTCAAGATGCTCAACAAATTTTGGGACAGAATGCAAAATCTCATAAAATTTTGAAATATTGCAGTACGAGATGGTTGTCTCTTTTAGAATCTATAACAAGGATTTTGGAACAGTGGGATGCTGTGATAATTTTTTTGGAGATAACCAGATAACAGTGAGAATGAAGGAAAGAGATTGCAAAACATTAAAAAAATTTTACAGTCACCGACCACCAAATTGTACTTGTTATTTTTGAAAAAATACTTTGCCTTTGTTTATAACAGTAAATATTAATTTGCAACAACAAGCTCCTTATATACATAAATTGAGAAGAGAACTTTTTGAACTTTTAATGAATTTATTTGTTAGATTCATAAAACCATCAGTAATTTCTAAAGGAAAGTGAAGAATGTTTACTCCAACGTCTATTACCATTTCAGAAGTATAGTAAACAAAAAGAAAATGAAAATTTAGTGATTGGTGCGGAAACAAAAGACTATATTTAAAAAATGCCAAGTTGAAATGAAAGTGAAGTGAAATCATTTTTCAAGTCTCTGTGCGAGCTTTTTTTGTAACTGCATGTTCATAGATATAATTGATAAAATTTCCACTGAAGTGAATCCATTTCTAAAACATGCTGAAGTTGCTGACATCAACTTGAGAACTGAAGTCTTAATTTTCATCTGTTCTTTACTTGATGAAATACTTTTTCCATCCATTATTGATGAAAAATATCTTAATCTAATCAAGTAGAAATTGAATTTTCCATGTATCAAGTAGATGATTTGAAAGAAATTGTAGATTTGCGTATTGATATAGCATGGGGAGAAATTGCCAAATTAAAAAATATAAATGGGTGTATTAAATACAAAGTATTGCCTTCTGTAATGCTTGCTGTCTTAATAATACCTCATTCAAATGCAGCTTGCGAAAGAATTTTTTCTATTGTTAAAAAAAATCAGACGGAATTTCGACCAAATTTAGGTCTTAAAACTCTTGAAGCAGTTTTGATTGAAAAAATAAATATGCAGGCAAATGAAGAACTGTGTTATGAAAAAACATTCTCAAAATCAGAACTTAAGCTTGATAAGCATGCTACATATAAATCTTTGCATTCATAAATTATGCGTATTTTGTTTAATACTTATATGTATCATTCTTGGTTATTTAAATTTTATTTCCCTGTAGAAAATCATATCCAGAATAAAGATATGATTTATAGCTTCTGATTTTTTCTATGATTAGTAGTGATTTGAAGTACTTTTTATTAGTGAATGCTTTGAGGAGTTAGTTAAAAGAAAATTTCTAATTAAATGTGCATATAATTTACAAGGTATATTTTTAATTATTCAGTTTTATATGTATATGGATTTTAAATGTAATAAAATTGATTACAATTAATTATTAATTTAAAATTAATGAATGGTTAATTACAACATACGCTACGCGCACATTTTCAAAGTTGTAAAAATGTCGTTCGCGCGTTGACTTCTGACAAGGTTTGCTGAAGGTTGGAGTCTATGAATACTGCAACTGTATTAAAAAAAAAAAAAAAAAAGACTAATAAACTGCTTACCATTTTCAAATCCAAAAACAAACATATAATTTTGGATAAAGATTTTTGGACAACTCCATATTTATCTTCAGTATAGGAGGCAGTTACCAAAAATCCAAGAGCTATTAAAAATAAAAAAATTATTTTTCCTCATAACAAGTGTAATGCAAAGTTAATCAATATTATATTTGTATTGAAAGCTTGACATTACAAATAAATGAGAAATATTATTAAATGAAAAAGTATATACCTTCAATAATCCAGATTAGAGGTTCAGAAGAAGCAAATAATTTCATTAATTTGGTGTTGGGCAACTCATCAAAAAAATATGCCACAGCAGCCTTTTTACGAAAATACAAGAACACCTAAAATAATTTTTTTTAAATTACAAATCCTCATTTAATTCATTTTTATTTTATTTTGAAAGAAATTAAAACTTACCTGATCTGAAAAACTTGGCAGTTGTTTTTCAGAAGTCAGATTTTTAATTTTCTCCTGAATTGTCGTAAGTCCTAAAAAAATAAACAGTCTAGAATAAATGTATAAATTTAGGTGTATCTTTTCATAAATTCAGCATTCAGGTATAAAAATTTTGATGCTCTGGTAAATAAAAACTAAAAATATCTTAGGAGCTTTCTCATAATCAATTACTTGAATGACTCAACAAATGGGAGAAAACAACTAGTAGATACAAACCTTTAGGAGGGATAATTTTTGATTCACTTGCAGCAGCTATCACTGAATACTCATTTAATTTATATACAAAATTCTGAACAGAAGAGATGCAGATGTCTGACAAAGCTCTCCAATTATGAGCATGTCCACCTTTAAATTTTAAAAAAAATAATTATTTCATAATATTCAAGCAAGAAAACAACAAAACTATGAAAAAGTTGAACTGAAATAGTTTCAAATTAATTTCTGACTTCAGAAAAATTTTAATTATAAATCACAAAAATGGTCTACAGATGTTTGGGATACACAAAAAATGCATTAAGCACGATTATATCATCTTCGGTAGATAACATTTCAACATAATACACATCACATAATAAAAATTGCAAGTTGGCGTCATGGGCAAAGCACGTCAAATGCACGCAGCAGTTAATGTGATACGCTACTGAAAAAAAAACCCCAGTAAGTGGCACTGCAATTCATAATTTTAAAACTGTATCGAAGAAAAATTTTTGTTCACTCATCAAAGTACTTCCAAGCCCGTTTGTTTGATATGTGGAATTTGCATGGCAATACTGAAAAACCTTAATCTAGACCAACATTTCCAACAACTACATGGTGATTTCAACAGCAAATATCCTGTCAGATCACACTTGTAAACAAAATTTATCAATGGGGGGGGGGGGAAATTAGCCAACCAACAACCCTTGTTTCAGAATGGAAATTATGAAATGGAAACTACAGTGAAGGTTCTTAAAAACTTTCTCTGTTGTTAGCCTGCAACAGAAAACACTATTCTGATGGAGAGGAGATAACAGAAAATAGCCTTTTAATGTTTTCCCCAAATGTCAGTGATACAAACATCAAATATATGGTTAATACAATAGCTTTGCCTAGAAATACCATCATGCATGATATAGATGACATTGGCTCAGATGTGGGCCCACAAATTGTCTCTGGACTACAATATTGCAAACACTTTTCATTAACTTTGGATGAAAGTTGTAACATCACAGACAATGCACAGTTAAGCATATTTGTGTGATATACAAATGCTATTTTTGATAGCGTGGAAGAACTTCTTGATACGCGCTAACTAGTTGGAGAGTGTATAAAATTAGATAATGCTTGCACAGATGAAATGCCTTGCATGGTTAAAAGAATAAAAGGGTTTGTTACACTGCTTGAAAATTATTTGGGAAGAAAAGTTTTTAAGCATCATTTTATTATCATTCAAGGAGTTCTTTGTGCCAAGGAATTAAACCTGTCTTCTGTTGCTGACCATGTAATGCACTGTATTAACAAAGTATGAGCTCGAGCTCTGAATCGATGACGATTTTGCGTGCATTTTTCTGGAAGAAATGGAACAGGATGGCGAATTACTCTTTCATTCTAGTCCGTACTGGCTTTCCAAAGGAACTGTATTCATGAGATTTTGGAAGTTGAGGGAGTGTGCTTTAAAGTATCTAGAAGAAAACAATGATCTGCCCAGTGAGAGCCTGCTTCACAAAAATGAAGATTGGCTATGGAAATTAGGTTTTTTCACCAATAGCAATCAATATTTAAATAATTTAAATTTAAGATAACAGGGAAAAGACTGTATTTTTCCTACCCTAGTCGGTCATATATCTTCTTTTGTGAACAAACTTTTCCTTTTTTTGTCTCGATTTTTTTTTTAAAAAAAAACTATCACACTTCACTTTAATACAGGAACTAGCTAGCAAAGTCCCAAAGTCAGTAATGCTTCAGACTATGATAGATTTAAAAAATTAATATCCATTTTGCAGGATTCATTCAATGTTAGGTTGATGATTTTCAAGATGGGAAAAAAAAAAAAAAAAAAAATATTTTTGATCTTTTCACAAATCCTTTTCTCATTTTTTCTGCAAGATGTTAATTGTTACCTACCTGAAATCCAAATCAAAATTATAGACACCTACAGCTCCCTACTACATCAAAAAGTAAATATAAGGAACTTATTTCAACTGTAAGTGATCCAAATTATATTAAATTTTGAAAATTTGTACCAACATGCAATTTTCCAAATTTACATGATATGGCTATCAGATAATGTTGTAGGTTTGGATCAGCACACATTCATGAATGAATATTTTCCATTATGAAGAAAATAAAATCAAAATATCATTCAAGATTAGCTGATATGCACCTCAGCACTTAATTTTGTTAGCATCTTCAAGACACCTAATTTTGTTAGCATCTTCAAGAACTAATCTTTATATACATGACTTGGTAAGAAGAAAAAATTCAAAAGCGACATTATTTAACTGACTGACTGTTTATAATTATTTAGAATTAAGCATTTTAAGTTATTCATTTTTATTTTGTACATAACCTTGACTGAACCTTTAAAATTGTTTATTAATAATAAAACCTAAGTTTGCATTTTTGCTTTATTTATTGTATTGTTTTTTAAATCTCCAGTACTTTAAAAAAAAAAAGTGCTATTTGAGCAAAACTCACGCAATCAGCCAATAAGTAACAGTTTTTCCTCTTTTTACATTTTTTAGTACATTGGAAGTGGCATGCACTTTCTTCTCTCCCCCCTTTTGTGTGTGTGTGTGTGTGTGTGCATATGAACTTTTCTTGGGACCTCATACAGGTGAGTAGTTCTTGATAAATTACTTTCACAATATTCTTCCATGTTGAAATGTCATAAAATTTACTTTTAGAACATTTTATAGACCTGTTCAATAAACAAGTACATTGTCATAAATTTACTGTAGAATACTTTAAAATCTTTTATAAATTATTGGTACTTCCATTATTTTACCATTTAATACCTTCTTCCCCATAATGGTATTTTTGTTTTTGCTGACATTTGATATACTTTATTTTTAGATTCTTAGTACTGTTTTTTTATTCTTACTAGTTTGGTCTCTGTTAAGATAAATGGCAACAAGTTTAACAAGCTTTTCACAATTGTTAAATTTCCTAACAGAATCAATGGGCATTTTCTATTAACTGAATCATAAGCAATTTTAAAATTTATGAATAAATGATAGATGTTAAAGTCCTGTTCTCTGGTCTTTTCCATTATTCATCTTATATTAAAGATTTGCTCATCAGTGGATACACTGATAGTCACCAATCATATTATCTGTATGAACAGTAAATCTGTTATAAAGAATATTAGAAAATAGTTTATAAAATGTGCACAGTAAATTAATACCTCAGTAATTTGAACATTCCAAGATATCTCTCTTTTTATGAACAAGACAGAGGGTTTTAAGTCTCTATTCTTCTGATGTGGCTTCCTCGTTCTACACAAATTCTATTAAATAGTGCATTTTCTTTACTGTGCCTGGTCCAGATTTTTTAATAAATTCAGGAACTATTACATCAGGGCCTGGACATTTACAGTTTCTCAGTTTATGTGTTGTTTCTTTTATTTTCATCAAATGCAGTGGAGTGATATCAGCCACACCGTTGCTGTAATCAAACACTTCGTAACTTGAGTCATCATTATTGAAAATGTAATGAAATATTCATTTCATTGATTGAAAATTTCATTCCTATCTTTGAGAACTACTTTGTGTTTATTCTTACAACTGTTTTTGTGAATCTAAATTGTTTATTCATTAAATTATAATGTTAATTTAAATTTTTATTAATTTCAGGAAAGAAAGATCTCTCTTGTTAGAACGTCTAAGAGGTTCAACACCTTTAAAATTTTCAACTGGCTGTCAGCATCAACATCATCACTCCTCATTTCCTATTTTAGGAGAAAAACATCTATGAACTAGCCCTTCTCTTCTAGCCCTAGTCCTGGGCCAAACCACATGAAGGCAGCGATTATCGCGAGCACGAGAAGGTGCCAAGTGACTGTAACTACATATCAGGTGGTCAAAAATTTATTTTTATTTAACTAAGGTGAGGAGGTGCTAAACAATTATTTTGTTTTTATCATCTGTTATACTTATTAAATATTTTGTGATGTGAAAAGAAGAATCATCATTCCTGAGTGACGTCACTTGATTTCCTCATGCATGAACACACACACACACATATATATATACTGTATATATATATATATATATATATATATATATACTACGTCCGTCAGGATCGCACTTCGGATAGGGTTCTAGTTATAGATCATCAATTTAAATCTGGTAAGATGGCATGCAGAAATTATACAATTAAAATTATGAAATTGTAATTTATGAAATAAAGAACAATTATGATCTAAAGGGTATCAAAATTTACAAAAGAAAGCTTAATATTTGTTTACTTTATTAAACATTTCGTTCAATGCAAGTTGTTTAAGATGCTCCCACAAAAAATTCAAAAAGTTCCTTTTTTCTTGTGTCATATACAGTGGACTTTCCAATGCCATACTCCTCACATAATTTTAAGACGAATATGCCTGTATGCATTTTTTGCAGCAATTCCACATTTTGTTTAATGGACTTCTAAACATGGTTTCGCTTTGTAGATCCCTTTTGTAACTCCAGAATTGGAAACTCTTTTTGACATAATTGAATCAAGATTTGATTTGCAACACATAAACTGAGACGTACATCTCCAGGCCTGATGTAATCCCATTTATAAAAGGGACCAGGCACTGTAAAGAAAATGCACTATTTAATAGAATTTTATAAAATTGTTCTAACAGTCTGCAAAAAATAATAAGCCAGATCCAATTAGAAGATTAAGGAACAGCGCAATCTGCAACATTAACTAAAATGCCTTAGATAATTTTAGCCTAGCTTATACCGTCCGTTATACATTAAACACGGACAAAGTTTGTAGCTTTGAGGTCCGGATTATAGATCATTCCGGATTATGGACGTCCAGATTACGGACATTGTATTGTATTTATTATTATACCAGGAAAAGAAGAGCAAAAAATACTGTAAACTGAAGGTATAAAAAATTAATTCAAAGGATTAAACTATTGAAATAACAGCAGAAAATAATTGCAGAAATCAAAGAACTTAAAGTACATGGATACAGTGTATGAATCAAAATAAAATAAAATAGATAAAAATAAAAAGAAAGTAATTTATATTATTATGAACACTGTGGAAAAAAGCTGACTTATAAAGGGGCATTACTTTTCCCCACAATAATCAGAGAATGATCATCCCATTCGCATACTTGAATGAACTCTTTGAAATTTGCAAAAA